CGGACCATGATAACAATGGACTATAGCTTTGTGTGTGGCGGTCCGGTGCGTTCACTACGTCTCCGACGACAGGATTTGTGGAGGGGTTATGTGCTTGTCGACCCTGTAGGCTTGAAGATGGATCAAGAACAGCGTCGCTTGTCTGCCACGCGCCGAGTAGGCTGGATCGATGTGGCTTCAGGATGCATAGATAGCCGCAGCCCAGGTCCTGACTGCCTTTGGCTGTGGCCTCAGTTCCGTTGTCCATTGGCGACAGCTTGCTATTTCCGAAAATACAACGACAGAAGGTGCTTGTGATACTAGCTAGAGGGAATTATTTTTTCTAGGCGTGATGCACAAAAATGGAAAATTATCTTCGAATTAAATAGTCACTTGGCTATCTAAGCAAAGTAAAAAATTCAAAGAATGGTGGTTTACTTGACCCCATGTCGCACTTAAGGCTGAAATTTAAGCATATTCGCGATGATAAGGATTTTCGGAAGAATTAACCACTGCTATTTATTGATAAGGTAATCAATTTATCTAGTACAACTCTGGAGGATAGTGTAGTACTTTTGTTGGAAAAAGGATTGAATTTTGCTCTTCCAAGTAAGGTAAACCATTCTCTGGAAATACCTGTTGAATTAATTAGCTTATCTGATAGATTGCCGGAAGAGGTAAGGAATACTATTGAATTGGGGATGATCCCTCATTTTGACCATATAATATCGCCAAAGAAAGATTATCATCTTATTAGTGTTTCTATATATCTCTGTAATAATAATCTAATCGCAATGAAGGCCGACAAAGGTAGAACAGTGGCAGTCATGGGTTTTTCAAGTTAATTAGACAAAATGTTAGTTCATTTAGATAACGATGACACATATAGGCCTTTACTGAGAGATCCAACAGAAAGACTTAAGACTAGGCTAAAGGATGCCCTTAAGGTACGCGTAAGTAATGGTGAAATGGATGAGTTGAAAATGAATTCACTACTCCAGAGAGATGTGAGGGCTCCCACGGCTTAAGGTCTCCCTAAGGTTCACAAGGAGGGTGTGCCTTTAAGATTAATTGTAAATAATAAAGGAAGCGTGATGCATAAAATCTTACGTTTTTTATGCATACATCTAAGGGACTGTCAATTTTTGGCTATATTCAGTTCAAAATTCGTATGATTTTGTAAAATTGATTGGGCAGCAGACACTAAGAATGAGATAAGCTAGTAAGTTGTGTCTACGTACAAAAAAATTCCTGTTTAATGAGCTCTGATACAAACTCTGAAGGAGCATCCAGAGATAACACAAGGAATAAGACTAAGTGTGCCTTCCATTATTAGACTTATTCATGTATATGCAAAGGAAATTTGATTTTCGAGGAATCTCTTGTTTCATAATTGTTGAGCTTACTAAAATTTCGAGTGAAAGTGTTGAGTGAAGAGATTCGAAGGTCGGTTCCACCAGAAGATGAAGGCGGTTCCTTTTGACCAGCTGTCGATTGGCTTTACCTGAAGATTCATGCTGACGCTGTTTCCAAGGTAATCGGTTCCGTTAGGGTGCTAAGCTTTCGTCCGTCATATGACGAGCATAATAAGAGTATTCTCGTCAGAACCAAATCCATGCTAACGAATCTGATCTGATTCACCGAAATACGATGAATACATCTCTTAATATATGAAATTGTCTTCTAATTATCATATATTCGAAATATTTTACTGATGAATACACCGCCAAGAGTTCACGGCTAAAAGTGCTATAGCCCTGCTCTGTTAATGTGATTTTTCGGAAATAGAAAGCGAGAGGACAAGGAGCTTCATCAGCAGCCTGATAGAGTGCACCACCAACAGCCCGGTCGGTGGCGTCGGTCACGAAGTGAAGATCAGCATCTGAATCTGGACGTGCCGACAGGATCACTTCGGTGGAGCTGATTTAATGCGTTCGAAAATGCTCTGCTCATCTTTAGATAAGATGTCATTTTTTTAAGTTTCTAAATACTCCTCCAAAGGAGTATCTGCACAATTTGTGATGAGGCGACGGTAAAATTAGCCATGCTGAGAAAACTTTTTAAATCCTCTACAGAGCATGGAAGAAGAAAATTGTTGATACCTAATATCCTCTCTTGACGTGGTATCATGTCGCGTGTATCAACACGTCATTCGATGAAACTCAAGGAATCGATGCCAAGAACACTTTTTCTGGGGAAATCACCAGCTGATGGTGAGATAGTCTTTTAAACAGGGCAACCGAATGCTGTTTGTGCTGTTCAATATTGCCAATATTAACTAGTATATAATCAATGTAGACGAAAACTCCTAGACCCTAAGTAACCTCATCCATTAGTCTTTGAAACGTCTATGCGGCGTTTCTTAGTCTGAAAGGCATCCTGCTCAATTCGAACAAACCGAAAGTGATGATGACATCTGTCTTGGTTATGTGATCTGGATCTACAAGGATCTGAAAATAGGCAGTTTTTAGGCCAATTTTGTAGAAAACCTTTTTGCCTTCTAGAGCTAAGGCAACGCCCGTAACAAGTGGCAGAGGAAATTCGTCTGGAACTGTTACAGCACTGAGCCTTCTGAAATAACTAAATGGCCTCCATTCTTTCCTACCTTTCTTTTGGGCTAAATGAAGTGGTAACGCCCATGCACTCTTTGATGGGAAAATAATGCCAGCATTTATTAGACCATTGAACATAAATTTAGTTGGGTTTCGAGGAATCTCTTGTTTCATAATTGTTGAGCTTACCTCCATTTCGAATAAACCTCAGTTTTCTAGATTCGTTTGTTTGAATTTAGTTGTGACCATGATACCTTGTTCTGATGATGTTCGACATATGACAAACGAAAGCTTAGCACCTTTTCGAAGATCCCTCGGAAACAGCATCAACATGAATCTTCGAGTAAAGCCAATCGACAGCTGATCAAGAGGAATCCGCCCTCGTCTTTTGGTGGATCCGACCTTCGAATCTCCTTACCTAACACTTTCACTCGAAATGAAAGTAAGCTCAATGATTATTAACCTATCCATGAGTACCACATATTTTACCTTCGATGGTAAGTTATACGAACAAACACAAGGATTAGCGATGGGATATTGGCTGGCTTCCGTCTTGGCGAACAATTATATGGCAAGACTGGAGGAACACAAGAGGCAATACTAACCACCAAATTGTTGGTTAGATACATGGATGACTATTTTGTCATCTGGCCTCATGGAGAGGAAAAATTAGATAGTTTCCTACTTTCATTTAACCAGTGTGAAAGGAACATTATGTTCACGATGATAAATGGAAGAGAATAAGTCCTTACCTTTTTTGGATGTTCTCATCATTAGAGAAGAGGGTAAGTTAGGAAGAGATGTTTATAGGAATCCAACATATGTTGGCTCAGCTTAATCTTCTCTTCAACCATAGTAGACTAAGGTTGGAATTTTG